GTAGGTGGTGTGTGTGTGGTGGTAGTGGTGATGTGTGTGTGGAGATGTGTGTGGGGTGTGTATGTGTAGGTTGTGGGGGGTGTGGTGTGTAGGGGTGTGTATGTGGTGTGGGGTGATGGTGGTGGTGTGTGTGAGGAGATGTGTGTGGGTGTGGGTGGGGAGCTGTGTGTGGTTTGTGTGGTGGTGGTGGTGGTGGTGGTGTGTGTGTGTGTGTGTGTGTGCGCGTGCACTCATAACAGTGCTGGGAGAGGCAGGGAGTATAATCCCTGGACCAGGGCCTGAATGGCGAAGAGGAGGGACTGGAGGGACAGGTACCGGATGGGAGGCTGCGCCATCTCCTAAGCGGGCCACTGGCGGGGTGGCGGGGGTCAGTGATGTTCTCGGGAGGAGCAGGTGGGGCAGAGGCCCAGGCTGGGGATCATTGCTAAGCAGCACGGGGATACTTTGGGGACTCTGACAATGGAGGGATGAGGAGGAGAGAGCTGAGGAGCAGGTCATGGCTGCCTGAGGTATATCTGGAGTCTTTTAAGGCAACATGTGTTTCAGAGTTCGGGGAGATAGATCAGTGGGTAGGGCATTTGCCTTGCACACAGCCGACCCGAGTTCAATCTCTGACACTCCTTATGGTTTCTAGAGCACCATCAGGAGTAATTCCTGAATATAGAGCCAGGAGTAAGCCCTAAGCACTGCCTGGTATGGCCCCAAAACAAACAAACAAACAAACAAACAAACAAAGATGTGTTTTGGGGTGGGTATGGGAAACTGAGCCTGGCCCGTATGCTAACAAAATCAAGAACAAATTGTGGCCTTCCAAGGGCAATAGTACAATTGATAAGGTGTCTGCCTTGCATGCGGCTGATCTAGGCTCAATCCTGGGCATCCCATATGGTCCCTTGAGCAATGCCAGGTGCAATTCCTGAATGCAGAGCCAGGGGTAACCCCTGAGCATCACTGGTTGTGACCCAGAAATAAAATAAAATAAAACTGTGGCCTTCTGGAAACCAAGCACTGTTTTCCCAGGGGTTCCCTGTGTGCACCATAGTGCATACGGGCACTCCTCACAGGCTGGGGATTTGGGGGCCTGGGAGGGCGGCAGAAGGTACATCTGAGCTGCCTCCAGTTTCCCTCCCACCTCCGCAAACCACCCTGTAAGTTCCTTTTTGGTCTTGCTGCCCTCGATATTGTGTCTCTATCTTTGCATTTTGTCATTTGGAGTATAAAGTGTCTGGGTGTTTTCCAAATTGGGCCTATTTTCACCGGGATCCTTCAGACCTCTTGGATCTTGTGCTTGTAATCCTAAACTCTGGGAAGTTCTTATCAATGATTTCTTTAACTATTATTTCTTTATCATATTTGCCTTCTTGTTCTTCAGGGACTCCAGTGATTTTTTTTTTGGGGGGGGTGTCTCACCGGGTGATGCTCAGAGGTTACTCCTGACTCTGCACCACCAGGAATTACCCCGAGCACCACCAGGGATAATTCCTGAGTGCAAAGCCAGGAGTAACCTCTAAGCATCGCCGAGTATGACCCAAAAAGAAAAAAAAAAAGGCACGGGGCAGGTATGGAGGCTTGCTGGAGGGGCTTTGCCTCTGGTTCCGAGTAGGCCCAGGAACATCAGCTGGAGGCGAGCCTGCCCTGGATGGTGGAGCCGCAGGCAGAAGGGCCACTGGCTTCCTTCTGATGACAGCAATGGCTGCGGTTGTGAGGGGGGACCAGCCAGTCCTTGGGTGGGAGACCAGGAGCCTAGGGTGTTAGACCCAGCCTAGCCATGAATTCTTCAGATCCCCCCAAACATTCCCCTTCCACCTTGCTGTGGTGTTGCAGCAAAGTGGGGGCCAGTCTTTCCGGCTCTGAGTGCTGGTATGTGTCTCCCTATATGGTCCCCCTCAGAGGAGCCCCAGGGAAGTGTGGGGGCCCATCTGGGGTCCCTCCCTATGCTCTTTACATGCGTCTGCCCACTCCCCACAGCCCTCCCTCGTTTCTTATTTTGTTTTGGGGCCACACCCTGCTGTGCTTAGGAACAACTCTTGGCTCTGTGCTCAGGAATCACTCCTGCAGGGCTCGGGGTACCATAGGCAGTACTAGAGATTAAACCCGGGTCAGCTACATGCAAGCAAGCACCCTACCCACTATACTATCTCTCTGGTCCTTCCCCATTTCATCCAGGCCACCCCTGGGCTCACCAGGCCCCAGCAGAGCCCTTGACATCCTCTCCTTCTGTGTTTCATCTCAGTCTCCCACCAGCAAAGCAGGAGTAAACTTTCCACCTTAGTCCAACCGTCCCTTCTAGCCTGGCGGGCGGCCCAACTCCCCTTGTCCAGGGAGGTGCTTCTGGTGGGCAGGGCAGGCTGGAAGGGAGGTGGGGGACATGAGCTTTTGGGTGAGCCCCTGGAGGAGCTAGCATGGTGCCCCCTAGGAAAAAGCCAGCCAGAGAGACCTCCAACTCCAGCAAGAAGCACAAGCACTACTCCAGCGAGCACTGGAAGAGGGAGTTCTCCCGGCTGCCCTGCAGCTATGAGCAGAAGTCCCGGGTCTGCCTCGAGTGCCCCCTGGGGCTGGCGCACTGTGAGCATGGCAAAGCCCAGGAAACCTTCACTATGGCACTGACAACTTTCTGTACCACGTGATGTCGGGGCCCACCGCCTGGCACTGACCACTCACTGGGGCCAGCCCCACCTCCGTGGGCCTCACAGTGGAGGTGGACGTGGCCACTTTGACCACACTGAGCACTGTGCAATATTGCGGGGCCAAGGAGTACGTGCCCAAGGCCCTTGGCTCTGCCCTGCTGGAGCTGAAGAGATTCCACCTGTGCCAGGTGCTGCTGGGCATGGAGCGCGGCGATCGTTGTAGCCCCAGGAGAGTGAGGGATGTGCAGGTGGGTGGCCACCAGAGGCCTGGACGGGGCTTGGGAGTGAGGACATCCAGAGGACTGGGCGGAACTGTACCTGCCAGTAGCCAGCTCATTCCACTCATCCCGTCACCCAAGAGTTGACTCTGAATGCCCTGAGGGCATGCCCCTGGGGCCCAGGACCTGGCCCAGAGCTGGCACAGCGCCTGGCAGAGTCGTGCTCGGGGCATGGGCACTAAGCTGGTGTGTGCACCCTCTGAGCTGTACCAGCTCTTCCCCGACTTCTCCTCGGCTTTCTCTACCCCATGGGCACCTCCTGGAGCTGCACTGGACACACATCGGGGTGGCCCCGCGGGGAAGAATGCAGTGGACGGCTTCCTACTGCATGAGTTTCACTTAGCATTGGCAGTGGGGGGCTTGGAGAGTGGCTATGCAGGGTCGGGGTTGCAGGCTCCTGGACTTGCTGCCCTCCTAGGGCCAACTCCTTGGGTGCAGCGGGACGGGGGGGGGGCTGGGTCCTTAATGCCCAGGGCCCAGATGCCCTGACTCAGCTCAGCCGCACCAGTGTAGACTCGCTAACTGGACCTTCCCAACCTCTCCCCTCGCTCCCTTTCCCTGTGCCGAGTCCCTCCATTGTCCCAGGGGCACTCTGGAACCTGGGCAACGGGCAGAGATGCTTGGCCCTGGGGCACCCTAACAACTGCTCCTGGTCTTCCCAGAATTGGATGAGCCTCTGCTCACCCTCTCGAGTTGGCCCAGGCTCCAGTCCTAGAAAAGTCTGGGGGCAGGGGTGTCTTGGCTGCAGGGTAAAGGACTGTGTCTTGGGGGCTGAGAGCCAAGGGAAGGAGAATGGGGTTCTTGAGTGTGACTTGACCTCTCTTCCAGCAGTTTCTCTTTCTGGAGAACTGATGAGGTCCTGTTTGTACGCACTGTGTATCCTTCTTCCCCACCCTCCGCTAGCCCACCTGAGGCTTGGCTGTGGGTGACTGTGTATAAAAGACTCACAAATGGAGAAGTGCAAAAATAAGCCACTTTTGTGGTTGTTGTTTTGGGGCCACACCAGGAGGTGCTCAGGGCTTACTCTCAGCTCTTTTTACTTAGATATCACTCCTGGTGGGACTTGGGAACCATATGGGGTGCCAGGGATCAAACCCAGGTCAGTTATATGCAAAGCAAGCGCCTTCTCTGCTGTGCTATCCTCCAGCCCTACCCTATCTTTCTTGGTGTGAACACCAAAATCTGTAAGTTTTCTTTTGGTTTTGCAGGGAGTTGGGGGTGGGGTGCACACTCAACAGTGCTGAGACAGGACTTTGCTCCCTGCAATGCTCAGTAGACCAGGTGGAATGTAACTGGGGATGTAACCCAGGTCTCCTATTGTAAGGCCAGCGCTCTGTCCTTTGACCCCCCTACCCCCCACTCTGGTCTGGAAAAGGATTTATTATTGGTTTTGCAATGGCAGTGTTCCAAAAGAGTCCTGGGCGCACTCAATTTATTTCACCTCTGTCTTCCTCGAAGTCTGGCTGCTCCCCAGGTTCTTAGCCTTCACCTGCCCTCACCTCACCTCTCCATCAAAGGCTGTAACAACCACAGGACCGTCCTGCCTCCTGGGGAGAGTATCTGAGCTTGGGGGAGGGGGGCCGCACAGAGCAGGGAGACACATCTCTTCAGCCTCCCCTGGGCCTCCCCTCGCTTGGGGTTGCCTTTGCCGTGAACGGTGTGGGCATCCGGAGGGGGCAGCTTGTGAAAGCTGGGGGACCGGCCCCTCTCTTCTGATCTCCTGAATTCGGGCTGAATTTGCAATAAAGTGGTAACTCTGCGCATCGCAGTGTGCTGTCTCCATGGTGGTATGTGTGTGTGTGTGTGTGTGTGTGTGTGTGTGCGCGCGCACGCGCGCGCCTGCCCCTACTATACCCTACTGTGACCATTTGGAGCACCTCACACTTGGACATCCGGCTTGTACTCCCCACATTGTGGGAGCTCCAGGTTGGGCTTCGGTGGCCCTGGGCTTTGCCAGCGCTGCTTTGGAAGGTGGGCAGGGGATGACGGCAGTTTGGGCCCTGGCCTCACTCACCCCTGAGAGCGGCTCAGCCTAAGAGGTTGCAGAAAGTTGGGGGACTCCCCACTTCAGACTCCCTTTTCCTTCCTCCTGCAGCAGGCCCAGCCTCCAGCACCCCCAGCCCCCTGCTGGCTTCCCTGCCCCTGCCCGCCAGTCCTCTGCAGCCCCCGCTGGACTTCAAGCACTTGCTCGCCTTCCACCTCAATGGCAACGCCCCACTCAGTCTCTTCCCCAACTTCAGCACGGTAGGTGGGTGGCGCGGCCAGGCTGGGGGGTCCAGGGGGCTGGTGGAAGAGAGGCTCATGGCCTTCCAATGACCCTCAGAGTGAGTTGGTGCTCCCCAGATGGGGACCCCAAGGCCCAGCTTCCCCCCGACCCACCCCGGGATGTGTCATCCCTCCGACAAACAGCAACTCCCCTGCAGGGCTTGGGTGTTGGGGTCTGGACATGCAGGATGGGGAGTTCATGGCACCTCTCGATCCAGAATGTTGGCGCTACATGCAGAGTGCTGCCCTGATGGGGGTCCTGTTGCTGCACCCCCTCCTGGAAGTATTTCCCCATGAGAAAGCCCTTTACAAAAAGGTTTGTCCTGATAAACTAAGGCCCTCAGATTTGGAAAAGTTTGACCCGGGTAGATTAAGATAGTCAGATACCTGCCCAAAATTGTTAACCTTCTCCTCTTAATAGCCATTGGTTCTAAGCAATGCATACTGTCCATGGAGGGCATTAGGTGCTCTCTCTCCATGAGGCTGTGAGCCCTCTGCCCCCCTGCTTCTTTTTCTCTCTTATTTCTGAGTTGGTTTGCTTTTTTTGCTTTTTGGGTCACTCCTGGTGGTGCTCAGGGTTTGCTCCTGGTTCTTCAATCAGGAATTACTCCTGACTGTGCTCAGGGGACCATATGGGGTGCCGGGGATCGAACCTGAGTCGGCCCAGGTTCAAGGCAAACACTCTCCCCTCTGTGTTATCACTCCGGCTCTTCTGTATTTCTTCTTAATCCTCGAAGCACCCCTGCTTCAGGCCTGTTTACGGGGAGGGGGGGAAGTCCCCGGCACTTGAGAACTGGGTTTCACTTGAGGTTTAATTTGGGGACATCTGTGGGTGTCTGTGTGTGATCCCTAAGTGTCCTTCAGTCTCAGTTGTGTCCCAGTTGGTCTTTGTTATTTATGGTTGTGAATGGGTGTATCTCTGTATGTGTGTGTGTGTGTGTGTGTGTGTGTATGTGTGAACAGTCCAATTTTTCCTGGATATAAGATTAGTGTGTGTTTGTGTTTCTGAAAGGCTTCTGTGTTGACTGCTCTGAGTCTCCACTCTGTGTGTGTGTGTGTGTGTGTGTTAGGGGTGTTGGGCCATTGTGAGTCTGTGTGTGAGTGTGTATCTTCTGCATGTGTCTCCTTCACTTTCATTTCTTGTGAGCTTATGTGCCCGTGTCTGTGTATGTGTGTGTGTCCATATGTGTGTGGGCATGGGAAGGCCAGGTGGGATAGCCTGGCATGGCTTTCACCTCACTCCCTGAGCTAGAAACAATGCCCTCCCCAACTCGCCCAATCAAATCGAGGACCGGCGAGATGGATCAAAGGGCCAGAGCACCTGCTCTGTGTGGTGGGGGACTGGGTTTGATCCCCAGCCCTGCATGGCCCCTGGAGAACCACTAGGGGTATTTTAGTGGTTCTGGTGTCCAAGTGTGGCCCAACCCCTCCAAAAAATTACTTATGAACCCCACTCCATCTTGACCAGAAGTGGGGGGAATTCTTTGTGGCCACTTCCCGGCTGGGTAAAGGTCCTGAGGACCTTGGTCCCTCCTGTCACTTGCTGGCATGCTTCGTTTCCAGGCATGGGGTCCCTCATGAGTGAAGCCCTTGACCTCCTGGTTGGGGGTCTGAGGTCCTAGCCTTGGCTCCCACTCAGGGACCCCCAGGCTTCTCCTTGCTGTCCACCTCCCCTGGCCTCTCTCCCTGACTCTCTTGCTCCTCAGATCTGGGTATGGTGTTGAGCTGGTCAGAGCACCCAGAGTGCCTGTAGGTCCAGCACAGAGAACGGCTTCCGGAATAGGAGTCTCCAGGGCACTGTTCCTTATGAATCAGAGATTCAGCGGGTAGTGAGAGGGGTCCTGGGTCCCCCAGACATGGTTCTATTCTCAGCTCCATGGGATGAGGATTCACCTGGCCACGTCCTGCAGGGCTGAGAGCGGGAACACTCCAGGGTCAGACTGGATGCTTCCCTAACCCGTAGCCAGCACTGCCCCCTATCACAACCTGACTGCAGAATGATTGCGCCCTTCTTTGCTTCACAGATGGACCCGGTCCAGAAAGCTGTCATCAGCCACACATTTGGGGTCCCCTCCCCTCTGAAGAAGAAGCTCTTCATCTCCTGTAACATCTGTCATCTGAGGTTCAACTCGGCGGTGAGAGGGAGCAGTGTGAACAGGCTGGGGAGGAGGCTGGGGGCTGGACCTAGGGTTTCTGGGGGCTCTTGGAGGATGGGGTGACCTGGGATAATGGTCCTGAGGCTCCATCTCTGGTAGCAGAAGAGTGCTCCCAAACCTTTGTCCATCTCAGCCTCTTTTCTCTGGATATAATGTTTCTGTGTAATTAGCACACCCCCTTTATTTATTCATTTACTTTTGTTTTGGTGTTTGGTCACACCCAGCGATGCTCAGAGGTTGCTCTTGGCTCTGTACTCAGCAATCACTGAGGGGCATGAGGCACCGTATGGGATGCTGGGGATCGAACCTGTGTTAGTCCTATGCAAGGCAAGCATCCTCCCCTCTGTACTATTGCTCCAGTCCCTAAATAGCCATTTTTGCCTGAATATGGATTAAAGTGTATGTATGTGATTAACGTATGTAAGTGTGCCAGCCCTTTGCACCGGCTCTCTGGCCCTGTGATCAGTTTGGAGGGGTGTACTGCATTCCTTATGGCTTCCCTCTCTCAACCCTTGTCTATCCAGCCTCTCATCTCTGGGGACCTGAACCCTGTCCCTCTTGGCTCCCCCAGGCATCTCTCCCATCTTCCATCTTCTGAATTCTGTGAGGGAGAAGACCACCTGCCTGTCCCCACTCTGGGTGCCAGGAGCCTCCCCATCATCTCCTGGCTGGAGCTGACTTTTCTCTTCTTTTTCTTTTTGGGGTGACACCGGCAATGCACAGGGGTTATTCCTGGCTCTGCACTCAGGAATTACTCCTGGTGGTGCTCAGGGAACCATATAGGATGCTGGGAATCAAACCCGGATTGGCCACGTGCAAGGCAAACACCCTACCCGCTGTGCTATTGCCCCAGCCAGCCCCTGCTTATTGTTTTTGCTGTTGGATTTACACCCAGCAGTGCTCAGGGGCTCCTCTGGACTCTGTGCGGGCTAGGGGGTCACTCGGTGGGAGTCAAGAATTGAATCAGGCCTCCTGCAGGCAAAGCAGATGCTCCAGCCTTTTGAGCCATCTCCCAGTCAGTCCTGGAGCTGAATTTATTTTTCTTTTCTCTTCTTCTTTTTTTGGGCGTGGGGTGGGGGGTGCTGGTGGGAGAGGGCTACACCCAGCAGTGCTCAGGGCTTACTTCTGACTCTGTGCCCAGAGATCACCCCCACCCCTGGTAGTGCTTGGGGGTCCATCTGGGGTGCCAGCGATCAGACCTGGGTCTGTCGTGTGCAAGGTGAGTGCCCCCCCCCACCCTCTGTACTATCTCTCCGGCCCCTGGAGCTAAGGTTCCCATGGTCTCTCCATGAGATAGGGAAGCTGTGACCAGGCTTGTTTCTTTTTTTTTGTTTGTTTCTTTTTGGATCGCACCCAGCGATCTTCAGGAGTTATTCCTGACTTTGCATTCAGGAATTACTCCTGACAGTGCTTGGGGGACCGTATGGAATGCTGGGGGGTCGGCCATGTGTAAGGCAAATGCCCTACCCGCTGTACTATAGCTCCGGCCCTGATCAGGCTTGAGGGAGCAGCCTCTGAGAGGTTAAGTGACTTCCTTGAAGCCACACAGCCTGTATTTAGGTCCAGGCCTGGCTGATCATAGCCCTAGTGCTTTCTACAGAGCTCTCCCCTCGGCAGGGAGGGGCCTCTTCTGGCCTCCCAGGAAAGGCTCTACTTCTGTCCAGGCGACTCTGGAAGTTCAGGATGATGCTTCAGTGAGGGGTCCAGGAGGACCTCAGGGGTCCAACTTTCCTATGGTTGGGAATAAACCAGGGTCCAAGGACCAAGGAGGGAGGTCAGTGTTGGGCCAGTGGGGGCGCTCTTGAGGCTTTCAGGTTCTGCAATTCGCGCAAGAGATGGACAGAGACTACTCTGAGGAAGAGACTGAATTTTCTCTCCCCTCCCCTTCCCTCCTTTCCCTTCCTCTTTCCTTCCCTCCCCTTCTTCCCCTTACTTCCCCTTCTCCCTCTTTCCCCTCTCCCCTCTCCCCCCTTTCCCTTCCCCCACACCTAATAGTGCTCAGATGTCACTCCTGGGTCTATGCTCAGGGGTCACTCCTGGTGGGGCTTAAGGGACCATATGCAGTGCCATGGATTGAAGCAGGTTGGCAGAGTGCAAGGCACGTGCAGTGATCCCCATACTCTCTCACCAGTACCGTATCTTCTTAATGCCGGGCACTGCATGATGCATAGCAAAAAAGGACATGTTTTGTTAACATCGGGGAAACTGAATGAAGCTGTGGATGTGCTATGAGGCACACACCCCAAAGCGTGGGACTGCTGTTTTGTCTGGCTGATGCGGTTTGCAATTTGGTCATTGACATTCATCAAGCACCTGCAAGGTCACTGGGGTGCTCTTGAATCCACTCAGTCCACTGAGGCCAGTGTGGTCATTACAGCCTTTGTGAGGGAGGAAACCAAGGCCCAGAGAGGTGGTTAGACCTGCCCCAGGATGCACAGCTTGTAGTGGTGGCAGCGTCAGAACTGGAAGTCTGTGGCTGCTTGTGTGGAGCCTGTGCGGTGCTGACCATAGCAGTGGCAGGACCCGCCCCAGGTCGGTCAGCAGAGCTGACCCCCGTGTCCTCCTCTTACAGAACCAGGCAGAAGCACATTATAAAGGCCACAAACATGCTCGCAAGCTCAAAGCGGCAGAAGCTGCCAAGAACAAGCAGAAACCACCAGACCTGGCCCGGGAGGAGGTTCCGGGTTCCCCAACCCCGGTTCCCACTAGCGGAGCCTCTGAAGAGCCACAGAGCAAAGGTTAGTCTTGTTTTATTCATTTCTTTTCAGCTTACCTGGCGCTGGTTGCCAGGGGTCAAACCCCACACCCAACCTGGAGGTCAGACCACTCCCCAGCCCCAAATGGAGGCTGGTCTTAAACTCCTCTCTCCTCCACTCCCAATCTGGCTGCTGACGTGGAGTGAAGAGATTTCTGCTCTTTTGCGATGGTGCTCTCGGGGCATCTTCCATCCATACAACACCTCCTAATTTCACAGTACTGTCAGACCAGAAGGATCAGAGCAAATGTGATGGGAAAGTTGCATAAAGACCACCAAGTTCCATGAGCCTAAACAGTAACACAGAAGGCTCAACTACCACCCACCAGCCCGGCAAATCCTTAGACGATGACTTTATTAACACCATTGTGAGATGCAACAATGGTCACAAATAGACACCTTTTTTTTTTATTGAAGTAAATAGGGCTGGAGCGATAGCACAGTGGTAGGGCGTTTGCCTTGCACGCAGCCAGCCAGGCCAAGCCAGGTTCGATTCCCCCACCCCTCTTGGAGAGCCCGGCAAGCTACCGAGATGTATCTCGGCAAGCTATCTCACCCGCATGGCAACGCCTGGCAAGCTACCCGTGATGTATTCAATATGCCAAACACAGTAACAACAAGTCTCAAAATGGAGACATTACTGGGCCCGCTCGAGCAAATCGATGAACAATGGGAGGACAGTGTTTGTGTTTGTTTGAATAAATAGATTTTATTTGGAGGATTTTTTTTTATTAGTGAATCACTGTGGGGTACAGTTACAAACTTTCGGGTTTGCATTACAGTCATACAGTGATCGTTTACCCATCCCTCCACCAGTGCCCATTCTCCCCTACCAATGTTCCCAGCATCCCTCCCACCACCCCCACCCCACTTCAGTGGCAGGGCATTCCCTTCTATTCTCTCTCCTTTTGGCTGTTGTGGTTTGCAGTAGAGGTATTGAGCAGCCATCGTGTTTGGTCTATAGTCTACTTTTGGCACGCATCTTTCAACCTGAATGGGTCCTTATTTGGAGGGTTTTTGAAGCTGTGAAGGGAGAGGAAGAGAGAGAGGAGAGAGAGAGAAACAGAGACAGAGAGACAGACACAGACACAGAGACACAGAGACAGAGAAAGAGATGCGCTCAAGAGAAAACATGGGCTTCTCCAAGGGTGGAGAGAGCTCCTTAGAGATAGAGACAGAGACAGAGAGACAGAGACAGAGAGAGAGATGTGCTCAAGAGAAAACGTGGGCTTCTCCAAGGGTGGAAAGAGCTCCTTAGAGAGAGAGAGACAGAGACAGAGAGACAGAGACAGAGGCAGAGACACAGAGACAGAGACAGAGACAGAGAGACAGAGAGAGAAATGCACTCAAGAGAAAACGTGGGCTTCTCCAAGGGTGGAGAGAGCTCCTTACACACACCCCAGCATTAGACATGAAAGCATGAAAATACACATCTCAAGAGGGAAGATGCGGGTGACACATGTGCTCAGACGACACATGTGCTCGGCCACGTGGGCGCAAGCAGCACATGGGTTCGGGCAGTATATGCTCCACAAATGGACTCTTATTGGTATGTTTGATACCTGCATTTGCCTTTGTGTTGTAGCAAGCAATATGAAGTAAATTTGTGCTTGCAAGGAGTCAGGCTTGGGTGGGGGGTGGGAAGCTGGGGACTCTGGTGGTAGGATTGGTGATGGAGCACTGCATGCCTGAAACAACTGTATTATAAACAACTCAGTAAATCATGGTGCTATAATTAAACAAGTTAGAAGGTCACACCCAGTCAAGTTCAGGGGCTCCTTCTACCGCTTGAAGTTCAGGGGTGTTCAGGGGATCATATGGGATGCTGGGGATCGAACCCAGGTTGGGCGTGTGCAAGGCAAGCGCCCTACTGGCTGTACTGCCTCTGCCTCCCTCACCCCAGCAGGCTTTAGACTTCTATAGAGCATCCCTTTAGGGATGCTCTCACTGTCTGCTCCTTTTTTTTTTTTTTTTTTTTTTGCTTTTTGGGTCATACTCAGCAATTCTCAGGGGTTACTCCTGGCAGTGCTCTGAGGACCATATGGGATGCTGGGAATCGAACCTGGGTTGGCAGCGTGCAAGGCAAACGCCCTACCCGCTATACTGTCACTCCAGCCCCATAGGAATGCTCTCAGCTGGCAACCATAATAGTGAAATAGAGTTAAAAGCTGCAGCATCTGAGGGCTGTGAGGATTTTCTGAGACCAACTTTCTGGTGTCTGAAGCCCAAAGAAACAGAGGCCCAAAGAGTCCCAGGTTGGTCCCATGAGTTGGAGGGAGAGTGGGGTCTGGGATGCAGCAGTCTCCACCCTTCAAGCCTCGGCCATCCCAACCTCTGGGGCTCCCTCAGCTGCTGCCCTTCCTCCTTTCTAGCAGTTCCTGCAGCGCCCCCTGCCGGCCCCCCAGCACAGCCGCCACTGACTCCGGACCCCGCACCTGGGGAGCCCGCCCAGCCAGACTCCCTGGACGCTGCCTCCTCTTCCTCTTCCTCCTCCTGCCCTCCCTGCTCCCCCGAGCCTGGGACGGAGGAGCCGGCAGGGGCTGCTTCAGGGAGCGGGGACGGCAGAAGCGAGAAGGGGCCCCTCTACTGCCCCACGTGTAAGGTGACCGTGAACTCCGCCTCCCAGCTCCAGGCTCACAACACAGGTCAGTGTCCGCAGCCTGAGCCCAGCTGGGAGTCTCGGTCAAAGTCCAGGGCTGGCTCATGGGGTGGTGAGGGCTGAGCAGGAAGGGTGAGGGGTCGGGGTTAACTCCAGAGAACACAGGCAAGCATCGGTTTCTGTGTGGCTCCACGCCAGGGAAGGGTTTGAGAGGCCACTGTCAGAGTCCACCACCAGGATGCCTGCCTGGAGGAGGTGGGCATGGCAGGAGGCAGCTTGGAAGCACCCAGCTCCTCCTGTGGCTGCAGGGGAGCCCATGTGTGTGGAGCACCGCGGGTGATGGGGGAAGGAGCCCTCGCAACACCTGCCCCCGACTTTCCCTCCTGAGACTGGCTTGTCTCCCCACTCCAGGAGCCAGACACCGGTGGATGGTGGAAGGCCAGCGGGGAGCTCCCCGAAGGAGCCGGGGCCGCCCAGCATCCCGCGGCGGAGCTGGACAAAAGGCCAGGAGAGCGGCAGGGGGCCGGGGGGGCCGGCAGGGGCCCAGCCCCCCCTTTCACTGTGCTCTCTGCCAGCTCCAGGTCAATTCTGAGACCCAACTCAAGCAGGTGGGGGGAGAGGATCTGGGGGGGAGCAGGGGGTGGAGGCGGGGGGCACGGAGTCTGGGAGAGCAGGAGTTCTGGGCTGAGCGGGGCTGCGGTGAGCCTGGCATGCCCAGGGGCTTCCGGGAGCCCTGTTTTCTACCTCCAGGGTAGGGCCCGCCCAGGATGCTGCCGGGTAATGTTCAATGTCAGAAGCGGGCAAGCCCGGGCTAGGGCAGCAGGGAGGTGGGCTGGGGGCCCTTGGGCGTCTCACCCTGTTCCCAGCCTGTGTCCATCCGACAGCACCTGAACAGCAGAAGGCACAAAGACCGCCTGGCTGGGAAGCCACCCAAGGCCTGCGGCCAGCACAGCAAGCTGCAGAAGCAGGCGGCGCTGGCTGTGAGTATCCTCAAGGTACTTGTCCACAGGCGGCCAGCCAGCGGGGCAAGGGGGTGGACAGGAAGGAAGCTAGCTGGAGGCCAAGAGCAGGACTGGGATTGGCTCTCCTGGGACCTGGCAGGAGGAATTTCAGGAACCGTAGAAAGCGGGGCTGGGGGGGCTGGAGCCATAGCACAGCGGGTAGGGCGTTTGCCTTGCATACGGCTGACCTGGGTTCGATCCCCAGCATCCCATATGGTTCCCCAAGCACTGCCAGGAGTAATTCCTGAGTGCAGAGTCAGGAGTAACCCCTGTGCATCGCCGGGTGTGACCCAAAAAGCCAAGAAAAAAGCTGGGTTGGAGCGGTCACCAGGGTGGGCAGGCAGTGCCTGTCCCCACCCCAGCACCCAGCGCCCCAGCACTGATCTCTCTTGAGTCTCCCACACCTCCCAGGGCAGGAAGACAGCTGGGAGAGAAAGCCCTCCGGAATGGAACTTCGGGGGTGGGAAAGGAGAGACTTTCGACCTGGAATCCTCCAAGGCACGAATTTCACCCCTGCGGCCAAAGCCCCAGGCTGGAGCCCTGGGCAGAGGGACATGGGATTCCACCCGGGTCAGACTGACCCGTTCTCTCTCCTCTGCAGTCGAAACTGGCCTTGCAGAAGCAGCTCACCAAGACGCTGGCTGCCCGCTTCCTGCCCAGCCCGCTCCCCGCCACTGCCGCGGCCCTCTGTGCCCTGCCCGGGCCCCTGGCCCTGCGACCCGCCGCCGCCACCACGCTCTTCCCGACGCCCATCCTGGGCCCCGCTCTGTTCCGTACGCCTGTGGGAGCTGTCCGCCCGGCAGGGCCCATCCTCTTCGCTCCCTACTAGCCCCCCCTACAGAGGCCGGGGCAGACTTCCCTGGTGTGGCTCAGCTCCTGCATTCCACAGGGCCCACCTGGGCTTCCTGCCCACCCGTCTAGCAGGAGCTGGGCTGGACTTCAGGGTAGCTGCCCTCCACGTGCCCCTTGCCCCCGACTCCGTCAGGACTGGAGAGTCGATCCCACCTGGAGCCAGGACCATGCCTGCCCCCTTCCCAGCCCTCTAGGATGGCCCTGGGTTCCTCCCTGCATTTCCCGACCCAATTAATGGGGTCCGACACCAATGAATCCCAAATATCTATGCAAAACTTACAGGTGGGGGACTCACCTGGTCCCCACCCAGGACCCTCGCCCCCACGGCCAGAGGCCCTGGGACTCTTAATGAGCCTGGGGACAGTGACCTGTGACCACTACACCCCCAGGAGGCTCGCCCCATTTGGATTCTCTGGAGAATCTCTACAAGTGCGGAGGGTCTCAAGTGGAAGTGGGGTCCGGTTCTGTGTGTGCCGTGTGGCCGTGGGGGTGTTCAGAAAGGAGTAGAGGGGAGGTGGGGTGAAGCCAGGAGTGGTTGCTGGCGCGAGGGTGTGGGCTGGGCTGGGAGCCCCGTTTTCAGAGCCATTGATCCCCTCCAAGTCCTCCCCCCTTGTCTCTCAATATCTTCCTCTCTTTTCAGCGGGGCACAGAATCTCCCCAGACTGTGCTCTTGGCTGTTGCCAACCCCCCAGCTTGCCCTCCTTCACGGGTCCCTAGCACCACAGCACCTCTGTCCTCCCATACAGCCCGTGGTCCCCCTGGCCGAGCAGCTGAGTGTGGGGAGCCCGTGCTGAATGACCCCAGACCCATTTTCACGCTGTCGGAACCATCATTCCCCCTGCCCCCAGCTCCATCCCACGCCAGCCCTGCCCTCTAAAACATGGCACTTTGCCTGTTCCCACCATTTTCTGTTTTTGTTTTTTTAAGTTGTTTCCACTGGGAGAAGAAGGGGAGGGAAACTTTTTGATAACAGTTGTGGTTTTATTCTGTCCACTGCCTCAATAAATGAACTTTACACCCGAGCCTGTGCCTGACCGGACTCACCCAGCCCCAGGCCGCCTGTCCAGCTTCCCCTCTGTACCGGTCTTGTGGAGGAGGGGTGAGTGTAACCAGCCTTGCTGAGAACTCTAAAAGGGGGCACCTGAGGAAAGGAAAAGCTAGAGGAGCGCCTGGTGCGGCCTCCACCTGGCAGCAGGCTCACCTCTCTGCGGCTGTGTGCCGAGAACCACTGCAGCCAAAGGTGGAAGTCCATGGTCCTGGGCTGCCGGCCCAATGGGCAGCCAGCAGCCCTCTGGCACCAGCAGACAGTGTGCTTCTGCCCCCTGGTGGCGGGGGGTGGGGATGCAGCGTCCCCGGCGCTGGGGCCGGGTGGGGCCATAGCACCTTGAAAGGGGAAGGCAAGTACCATCTAGCTGGCCAGACAGAAGCCACTGGCGTTGTGGAATCGCAGAGCGGGAGAGGTCCTGAGAGAGCATCTCAGCAACTCCCATCGCTTTACAGATGAGAAAACTGAAGCCGAGAGAGGGCGAGGCAGGCCCCTGGAGTCACGCGTGACTCAGCACAGCCGGCATGGCCAAGAGGCCCCCGGCTCCCTGAGCAGGAAGGGGGAGAGGCGAGGCGAGGGAGCTGTTCCCCGGGGCGGACTCCTCCCGGCCCTGGCACGCGGATGCCCTCCTTGGACGCCCCATTCCAGGATGGGGTTCGAATGTGTCACAAGCCAGAAGCCCAGAGAGGTGCCCCCCCCCCCCCATCAGCCTGGGACAGAAGCTGACTCAGCACTGGACACCCCCATCTAGGGCAGGTGGGAGGGACACTGAGGCACAACAGCCCCGTCAGAGGTCACTGGAGTCAAGGGGATGGAAGTGCGGGTTACCTGCATTTCCCAGAGCTGGGACAAAGCAAAGGTGACCTGGGCCAGCCCAGCTGACTGCCCAGGTGGAGAGCACCACCCTGTGACCATGGCCGAACTGCCACCGAGGCCCTCCCTGACCCCAGAAACCCACTTCCAGAGCTCCCCCCGCCCCCACCAAGTTAGACACGGTCTGGGAAGGGGAGTGGCAAGGGAAGCCCCTCAGCCATCCAAGGAGCCGCTGCCCTTGTTCTTGCGGCTGAGGGGGAAGGCGGACTTGCTCTGCGGCTGGGTCATCTTGCTGGCCAGGTAGATGAAGGGCTCCAGCAGGGAGCGGCGGTCGGCCACCGACACTTCCCAGAGTTTCACCTTCTCCGACTTGGCCCAGTGCTGCGCCACATCCGGGTCTACGCGGCGCTGCTCCTGCAGGTCACACTTGTTGCCAAGGACCACGATGGTGACCTGGGGAAGAGGGATGGTGAGGCCTGTGAGTGCGCCCGGCTGGGGGTTGGTGACCATCGATGGGCCCGGAAAGGGCTTCTCAGTGGCTGAGGCCGTCTTGAGTGACATAAGTGGAGACAGGGAAAGGGGCAGATGTGGGAAGTGGCTGCTGGTCCCCTCCTTCCTCAGTACAAATTCTGGCCCCCACATTGGCTTAGGGGCGTTACGCATATCTTGCTTGTGAGGTCCCAGGGTTCAATTCCTGGCACCGCACTCCCCTAAGCACCAGGAACAAACCCAAGCTGAGAGTAGTCCTCAAGTATCAGCTTTTTCAGCCCAAAATCAAGAACAAAAATGAATTCTGGTCCCCACCTGACCCTTCATCTGCCCAATGGTAGTTTCTAGCTGAACAAGCAGTACGGAAGCGATTCCAGGACTCCAGTTTAAAGAGTACTTGAGGGGCTGGAGCCATAGCACAGCAGGTAGAGCATATGCCTTGCATGCAGTCGACCCAGGTTCGATTCCCAGCATCCCATATGGTCCCCCGAGCACCGCCAAGAGTAATTCTTGAGTGCATGAGCCAGGAGTAACCCCTGAGCATCGCCGGTGTGACACACAAAAAACCAAAATAATAAAAATAAAGAGTACTCGAAGACCAGAACAATAATATGGCGGGTAGGGTACTAGCCTTGCAAGTGGCTGACTGGGGTTCGATCCCTCACATCCCATATGGTCCCTTAAACACTGCCAGGAGTGATTCCTGAGTGCAGAACCAGGAGTAACCCCTGAGCATCACTGGGTGTGACCCAAAATTAGAACAAAAGAAAAAGAGGGGGGGCACTTGGGTCCAAGGAACATGACTCAAGGGCTAGAGTACAGGTTTTGCATATGGGAACCCTGGGTTTGATCCCCAGCACCACATGGTTCCTATGGTACAGCCAAGAGTAACCCCACACCTGCACCATTAGGTGCCCCCACCCCTCCCTCCCAAAAATCCCAAAAGAACAAAGAGAAAATGAGAAAACACTTGGGACTTGCAGCTCTGGTCAGGGACCTCCTAAACTGAAGCAGCTTCTGGTTCAGCTGCCTCAACACGTGGTCCCTTCTAGGGGTGCAGGTACCTTCCATTCTGGGGCCCCATCCTGTTTCAGTTCCCGACCCATGTCCTGGAAAGTCCATGAGGAATGGCGTAGGACAGGCCCCCAGCCCGGGTCACCACTGTCCCTGCCCCAACCCAGACCTCCTTCTTGTCCTTGGACTTGTCAATCTCCTTCTTGAGCATCTCGACACGCTGGAAGGACTCCCGGCTGTCCGTGCTGTAGACCAGGACAAAGCCATCGGTGCAGGAGAAGCAGTGTCGGGGCAGCTCGGCCCCGTCGCGGAGCCCCCGCGTGTCGTAGAAGCGCACCTGCTCCCGCACCCCCCGGTCCGTCTCGATGGAGCCCACGTAGATGTCCTCCTGTGTCTCAATCATCTCAGAGCCTGGGAGAGAACCAGGAGAGACGTTAGCAGGAAGCCAGGAAGTGCAAGGGATTGGGGGCCCTCCTGGAGAAGGAAAAAACAAATGTGGGGGATCAGAAGGGAGGAGGTTGGTCAGAAGCTCAGATTCTGGACGAATTGGAATGATTTGGGGGAGCTGACATGACTTTTCTGCTAATACAAAGCACCAACAACTAACTTGGAGCTGTGTCTCTCTGCCTCTAGTACTGGCTTTCCTGTTCAGTGTTGTGTGGTGGGAGCTATTTATTAAGCAAGTTTCATTCTTTGGGGGGGGGGTGCAATAGCCACCAGGAGCCACTTTCAGCCCTTGCCTGCTGGGATCCATGTGCCCCCGCCCTTCTGCCTCCACCACCACCCCAACAGCTTCACAACACTCACCCACTACATGGTTCCCATACAGAAGCTGCTCCAGGATTGAGGTTTTGCCCACAGATGCCTGGCCACACACGACCACCTTACAGCTCTTCCCCATGCTTGGCCTCTGGCCTGGAAAAACAGAAGCAAAGGGGACGAGGGAAGGAAGAGTGCATCAGCACAGAGTTGAGGGCCTGAGAGATAGTACCGCGGGTAGGGTGCTTGCTTTGCATGCGGCTGACCCAGGTTCTATCCCCAGCATGCCATATAGCCCCCCATGAGCCTGCCAGGAGTAATTCTTGAGTGCAGAGCCAGTAGTAACCTTTGAGCACCAGCCAGGGGTGGCCCAAAAACCAAAGCAACCAAATAAACAAAAAAACAGAGCTGACCTCCCAAAACAGAGTCCAGCGCCTCCACTAAATGAGTAGCCACAGACAGCCACACCACTCCAGGTGGGTGAGGTGTCTACACCCGCTCCTGGGCAGATAATCTTACTAGACTTACTCCCGCTGTGAGGCCAAGCGAAATCACAATAAATGTTGCCATTAAAGGGAAACAGTTGCTGATTTAAAGCCTCCCAGGCCTTTAACCTAAGGGGTTCCTTTCCTGCACTGGGGAACAATCACCAGCTGCTTTCAGGGGTTCATGGAGAAAGACATCACTCCTCCTGGGGAAAGTAGACATTTAAGAGGGATATTCTGCTTTCCTGTATCACTTTTCTGGACAACAATTAATTCATTCTAATTCCCAGCCATGCCCATGGTTCAGACGAGACTAAGAAAGGATAGAAGAAATCTTAGGGGTAAAATCTTCAGCAAGGTAATCCTTGCTGTGGCTGACCTCGTAGATTCTGGCGCTAAGGCTCAGATGCAGAAAGCCGCAGGTCAAGAGATCTCCAGGCGCTCCGAAGCGGGCAGACGTCTCAGATGTAACCCAGACAACGCCCCCTCCTGCCCCCTCAACAGTAATACGCTAACCACATACCTCCAAAGGTCTGCAACAGGTGTTTGGAGAAGAAACCTCCCTGTCCCGCTTCCACCAAAGGGCATTCTATTGGGAACCTAGCGATGAAGGAATACCCCAAGTGACAGCCACGGGGGTCCTCCGCCCCTATTTCCCCACCTGGGCGTACCCGGGAGGGAATGAGAGAGACCCGCCACCCAGGAGGTCCAGACGCGGTGGCCTATCGCAGTTTCCCCGCTCCGTACCTCCTCGAGGGGCTCCCGCAGCACCCTAGCCGGGTCCCTGGAGGGGCGGCGGCACCAGGTCAAATCTAGCACAGCCACCGGAACTCGGCTTTTCCTCCCGGCTCGCCTGGCCCCGCCCCTCGCTTCCGTCCGGCGAGAGGAATTCCGGTTGCACAGAGCGGGCGCTAACCCATAGCGCCCCCCGAGGCCGGCGGGGGATTGACGGGTTATGCTCCAGAGCTGGAGGTGAGCTGCGGGGGAGGCTGGGGATGTGGGGAGGTTTGTCTAGGTTCCCTGGATGCTGGGGTTTTGTTTTCTCTGATGTCTAAAAGTTCTTCGTCTAAAGACAGTCATAGGAACATTTTGTTTATTCATTCAGTGTCTTCTGTCTGTCCTTGCGGGCAGCTGACCTTGATTTGATCCCGTGCACCCCATATGGTCCCCCGATCCCCTTCAGGAGTGATCTCTGAATAGAACCGGCTTTGCCCACACACACATTCCAAAGATTAAAAAACTTGGTGGTAAATTGGGAGTCAGGAGAAAGAATGAGTTCGTGATGAAGCCCAGCTTTCTCGTGTGGTGACCCAATGGTGGTCATTGATAAGCTAAGGAATTCAGGAAGAGATTCAGTCTAACATCTCTTGTGGAGGGGTGATAAAGAATAAAATTAAAATCCGATCCACCCGTCTTGGGGGTTTCTTCGAGAGATATCTAAGAGAAAGTTGGATATTCCTATCTGAAAAGCAGAGTGGTCTAGGTAGATAACACCTGAGAACCATCAGATAAAGGCTGTGGGAGGAGGTGAGTGGGGCTGAGATGCAGAGAACACAAAGCAGGAAGATAGGCTAAGGCAGCTTGACCTTTAGCTTTAGACTGTAGATGATAAGCCATTGTCAGGCAGGGCAAGCTGGTCAGGATGTCTTTGTCCCCCAAGCTCCTCAAGCCAGCAGAAGGAGAGAGCAATTCAACCATGGACTGGAGGACTGACCGTTCTCCTTCGTGCTCAGCTCTTCTCTCCGTGCTCACCGGCTTTGGATGCGGTTTCAACTTGCAGCCGTGGACCACTGTGCATATTAGGTTACCGCAGGAATGGGACCAATCCTCCTAAAATATCCTGCTCCCTTATTCCTGTGGCCCTTTAACCCCAAACTTCCTCAATTTAACCCCAGAGAACCCCGAGTTCACAAAAATTATTGGTTTGGTGAGGGAGGTGTTGTAAAAGATGATGGGGCGGAGTTCTTGCCCTCAATGAGTTTCCAATCCAGAGTGCGTTTGGGAAAACAAGCGTGCCGCATCGGACGTTTATAGAAGGGGCGGGAGGCATGGGGACACTGGTTGGGGACCTCACCCCGAGAACTGCCTTATAAACTCCAGGGCAGGGTCTGGGGCACCGTGCCACCCTCCTTAGGCTTCATGCTGAGATGGCACTCCCAGACGGCTGACATGAAAGCAGCCTCATAAAAGAGCCAGCGTCATTAGGGTGATGAACCAGTTGGCGCTTGGAGATCCAGGGGGGATGAAAGGCGCGGGGTGAAGACGCCCTGCGTTCCCCTGGCTTGGTTGGGCAGGGCTCCCAGGGGCCGATGAAAGCTGGGGGAACTAGGCTCAAAGTGTCTCTTCCTGCCTTTCCCAGGCGGCAGCTGTGGACAAACACCGAGGTGGAGACGGGATCAGCGATCTGCGGGAGTTTTTCCCCTTGAGTCCGGAGTCACCGGCTCCACATCCTGCCCAGACTCGGCTTAGCATTACCCTAGACGCCCGAAGATTGTTAGTTGCTATGGCAACGAAGCTCTCAGCCTACTGAGGCACACCGAGGCCTAGAGAGGCAACACCCTCCGGCACCCCCTTCAGACCCACGGGTAAAGTGGCGCCCCCTACGCAGAGGAACCGTCCCTGGGTCCCCGCTCCGGCGCGGAGACCACCGTGGACCTCCGGGGACGGGAGGCCGCTCTGGCCCCAAGCGGAGCCTCTCGCTGGTAGACGGGTTCACAGGAGCCACTCTGGGCGCAGCGCGGCTGAGCTGCTCGATGCTCCCGCCGGAAGTGCTCTTCACCGCCTGCCTCCCACCCGGCTCTCTGGTCCCGGCGGTAAGATGGCGGCTGCCGCGGAGTGCGATGTGGTAATGGCGGCGACCGAGCCAGAGCTGCTGGACGACAACGAAGCCAAGAGGTAACCCGGCGGCGGGGCGTTGGAAGGAGCGACCTTCGGCTCGGTGGCTCCGGGAAACCCGGTTCTGCCACGGTGCAGCCACTGGCTGTGGCGGCGATGCCCCGCCCTCCGCGACCCCCCACCTTCACCCTGTGAGATCCAGTCCGGATGGAGCCCCCTCAAGGGGCGCTCGCGGAGGTCGGCCCTCCTCTCCCGCTTCCGCCCGGCCGGGGCGCCGAGGACGGCCCTGACTGGGGTGGTGGGGAGGAAGGTCGTCCTGATGGCAGAGGCCGGGACTGTCGGGGGGTCGGCAGAGGGGATGGGGGTGGCGGCGCGGTGACGGGGGCGACTTCCTCCCTTCCTCCCCCGCGACCCCATCTTCTCCGGCCAACTTCGGGGCCTTGTTGCCCCAGTCCCGTAGAGCTCCGAGCCCTGATTCCCCGCAGCCCCCTCGCTCGGTAATGACACCCCAGCACCCATGAGTCCGACTCCGGGGTGACCGCGTCTCCATTCGTGACCTGGTGGCCGTTCCCCGGCCCTGCTTGCGAAAGTCTCGGGTTTGCATCGGAGGAGCCGAGTGAGGGGCTCGGCTTCTGCCCGGTCCGAGGCTGCTGCGCCCCGCACCCCACCCCACCCTCCACCTTCCTACACGTCCCCCCCCCCCCCCCCCCCAGGACAGGGCGCAGGTCCGAGTCTCGGCAAGGAGCAGCCGCGCTTGGTCGCCGGGCTCCGCTGGGGGCCGGGTCGGAGCTGCTTTTCCAGAACACTCTCTGGACTCCGGATCTCGCGGAGGTGGGGGTGGCACCCGGGATGGGGTGCCCTGTGTGACCTAATCCTGGCCCAAAGCAGTGAACAGAAAGGGGTTTGGACGTCGCGAGCGCCCATATGGTGCCTCCTCTGCTCGGGGGGTGCCCGCAGCGTTGGGAGCTTGGCGCTGCGGGGAGCGGAGGTGGAGGTGCCGCGCGTGAGGTCCGGAATCAGGACGGCCGAGATTACCCCTCTGCGCCCCGGGAACGACGGAGGTGTCCCAGGAGGCCGACTGCACGGTTACCCCGTGGGGGTGGGGGGTGCTGCCTGCCGCCAGCGCCCCAGTGCCTCAGCGCGCGCTCCCTCCCCCCCCCCCCCCCCCCCGCGCTTCTGGGGACTCAGAGGACCCACCGGGAGAGCAAGGCCAGGGGGGGATTGGAGAAGGCAGCGGGGCTCGCTCTGCGGTTTTCCTACTTAAGCGAAGGTGTGGAGAATTAAGCACCATCCGCATCATTAGGAATTACAGTTGGGTGGGGGTGGGGGGGCGCTGCACCGTCTCCTAGGGCCCTCGCATTGAACCGCGTGTCTCTGCTTAGCCGGGTCTGGTCCGAGTGGCTCCCAGGCCCCTCAGAGCACTGTCCGGAGCCTCTTCTTCCCTCCCAACAAAAAGAGAAATTGCTCATGGGGCTGGAATGTCCGCTCAAATAGCAGAGAGCCTTGGATTTGATCCCTTCCCCCACCATCACCTACCTGGCATACCCCCACGGCAATTAAAACAGAAACAAAAGGAAAAGTGCAAGGCAGGAAACTGTTTTCCCTACTTGCTTTGAAATGTAAAGATTTATTTCACTTGGGAGTGAAAAGAACACAGTGGTTTTTATGATGTAAAAATGGAGTGCACCTTCTGGAAACTTCCTCAGCTTAAATCTCTGACCCAGGGATTGCCCCCATTTAGGTTTGGGAGCGAAACCTATCTTTTATCTTTTTCCTTTAAAAAAAAGGAAAAGAAAAGAAATGGCCCAGTCCAGAGGCCAAGGAGGTGACTCCAGTACTGCACCTTCTTTCTTGGGGGTGAGGAGCAAGATGATCCTTGGTGCTGTATGGCCCCCAGAGCCGTGCCTGCTGTGACCTCCACAAAGAAAAGCCTAGCTATAGGGGACATTCTACCATCAAATTAGAGTACGTGGATGTGATATATTAAGAAACAGAAAGCAGGTGACCCTGTCACGTGACCACATTGAGTCCCACAAAACCAGCCTGTTTGATAGCAGTTTAAAAAATCAGGGAGGTTACAGGGACCTGGGAGATGGCTCAAAGGACTGGAATGCATACAGGAGCCCTGGTTTGCTCCCTGGCATTACACAGTTTCCTGAGCACCTCTGAGAGGTGACCATTCCCCCACCCCTACCCCCCTGTCTCCCCCCACCCAAAAAAAAGTATTGGTTATAAAATGGCTTTTGGCTGTTGTTGCTGTTATTTTATTTTCGTTTTGGATCACGCCTGGCAGTGCTCAGGGCTTACTCTGGATCTGTGCTCAGGTATCACTCCTCATGGGCCCCAGGGACCATGTGGGGTGCCAGGGATCAGACTCAGGTTAACTACGTGCAAGGCAAACTCCTGCCCTACTCTCTTCACTATCACTTTGGTTCTTGAAATGTAATCTTATCTGCTTCTAAGGAAAAAAAATGAATATAAATTTAAGTACAAAAATTGTATTCTGAAAAAAAAAATTGTATTCTGGTGCTGGTGGTAATGACACTTACCTTGCATGCGGCTGACTTGATTTGATCCACAGCACCCGCATCCCCAGCACCCTACAGGATATGATTTCTGAGTCCTTCCAGGAGTGATTCCTGAGTGCAGAGCCAGGATTAAGCCTTAAAGCACAGCCCAGTGTGGCCCTACACCCTCGATCTCCAACACACACATCATGCATTCTGGTATAGACTGCTATACATTATTCATCAAAATATTTTTAAGACATAACAAAACAGATGTTATATACCACTAAAAATGTGAATTAACAAAAACTGGTTTGACTTTCTATTTTAAAAGGTAGCCTTAGGTGGGCCAGAGAGTTGGTACAGGGATTAAGGCACTTACCTTGCATCTTTGACATTGGTTTCATTCCTGGGCAGTTTATAGTCTCTAAGCACCACCACTGGTTACTCCTGAGTACCGTGCCAGAAATAACCCCTGAGGACTACAAAAAACAGGGGGAGGGGGAGAGGTAAGCAATTGGATCTGTAAGAAATGCCTTGTTTGTGTATGGTTTTCTTTTTCCTTTTTTTTTTTTTTTCTGTAGGGGGGGACCACACCCAATGGTGCTCAGGGCTTACTCCTGGCTCTGCACAGGGATCACTTCTGGTGAGACTCCTAGGACCTTCTGGGGTACCAGGGATTGAACCTGGGTCAGAACACATGCAAGACAAGCACCCTCCCCACTGTCTAATGCTCTGGCCCCGGGTCTGGTTTTCTAACTCCAAAAAATGGAGTGGATTTAGAAGTTCATGGCTCTGTACTCGGGAATTACTTCTGGCGGTGCTTGGGGAACCACATGGAATGCTAGGGATTGAACCCAGATCAGTGTGCAAGGCAGCCCTACATGCTGTTCTATTGTTCTGGTCCTACAACGATTATTTTTAATACTTTTTATGAATCCTGGAACCCTCCTGTGTAGCGATAGCGAGGGCGAGAGAGAGAGAGACTTTCCTATGAATGCCTTTTACTGTCTTGACTTGGTTAATCATTTTGCCAAGATTGTGTCTCATTATTACAGTGCCACACTCATTTCACCTGGGGACAGGGGAGCTGATGGGTCTCTTGGGTAGTTTTTGTGAAATCCAGTCAAGAAGGGTTTCTTCCTTTCCTGCATCCGGGGTCTTGCTTCTGCTGCAGCTTCCAGAGGTGTCTCAGTAGCACAGGGCAGAGGATGGGGCACTTTTCAAGATGCTGTTTGCAGCATTTTCAGTAACTATGTTATATATCCTCAGCCTCCCATCTTTTACCAAGAAAGAAAGTGGAAAATCACATGTCCTACAAAATCCCTAAAAAATTCCCCTATAGTAGGCAAGAGGCTAAAATGAAAAATGTGTTAGTTGCCATTCCAAAATAGATTAAGAGTTCTGTACATGAAGATTATTTATTTCTCTTTGTTCTCCAGAACAGATAAAAAAAAAGCAACTCGAGAGCCAGGGGACATTTTATAGGTCTTAGATATCAGCTCATTTAAGCCTAATATTTTCTGGGTTGTTTTGGAGGTGGGGGTTGCTGGGCCACACCTGGCAGTTCTTGGGATTCACTCTTGGCTCTGAGCTCAGGGATCACTCCTTGAGAAGCTCAGGGGGCCCTGTGTGGTGCAGGGGATGGAACTGGGTTGGTTGCATGCAAGGCAAACTCCTCAAGTTTCTCTCTGATGCCAGGGCTGCTGTTTTCTGGAAAGTTGCTGACTGGTTAACAAGTACCTGAATCCCATTGGAGGAAAGGCATCCGGATCCCACTTCTGGGACTGGAGTGGACCTTGGTCTTAGTTTCTATAGGTAGTATTTATTGTGCTACATCGGAAGAGTTTAGGTTTATCAGTAGAAGGCACTTGTGTTCCCATTTGTACCTGTTGTGACTGAACAGTGAGGGTTCAAAGAGCCCGTGTGAGCTGCCCACTTAGGAGCATGGCCACCTTACCTGATTCCTTGAACTGATAACTTCCGTGTATCTGTTTTCCAGATATCTAACTTCCGTGTATCTGTTTTCCAGATGGAATGAAAGAAGAACACAGAGCTGGAGTGATAGGACAGCGGGTTGGGCCCTTAGCTTTCACATGGCCAGTGGCCCAGGTTGGGTCTCTGGCAGCACATGTGGTTCCCTAAGCCCTTCCACGAGTAACCCCTGAACACTGCTGCATGTGACCCCAAAACAACAAAAAGAAATAACGCATACAGTTGGACCCAGTCTTAGAACCTAGCTATTGAATCCCTTTGTGAATTCGGTTTGCCTTGGGGGTGGTGTGGCTACACCCAGTTATGCTCTGGGACTATCCTCTGGCCCCCTGTGCTTGCCTTTCATTTCTTTATGTTGTTGGAAGCACTAAATCCTGATCTAGGCTCTCTTTGTCTTCTTGGGGCTTGTTTTGTTTGTATTTGGGTCACACCCTCTGGTGTTCAAAGTTTACTCCTGCTAGTCACTCAGGGGTCACTCCTTGGTGGACTTGGGGGACCATATTGGGTGCCAGGGATCACACCCAGGTTGGCCACATGCAAGGCAAGTGCCTGATCTGC